GGTTATTGCAACAGATTGCAGAATTCTACAGGGGTCTAAAGAGCCCAAGGAGCATACCTATCTCCGTGCCACCGCCTTGTGCCTGCAGAGCCCACAGAAGGATCTCGCTGCCTGTGGCTGCAGCCACCATCTTGTCGTGCTCACCCGGAGCACCGCTGAGCACCCGAGCCGTGAGAGCCAGGCGCTCGATGGGCCAGTCCAGGCGAGGGCTGGAAAATGCTAGCTGCCAGCCAGAGGCTTCCTTCAGCCTGTGAGATTGGAGGAATCATCAACTCCCTCCTCAGAGCCGCCCTCTCCCACAGCCCATCCCCACCCTCAGTACCTGTAACAGACGAGGAAGTGCGTGTAGGCCACAGCAATCCAGTTGTGGTGGCCACAGACCAGTCGCACCATCCCTGGCTCCTCCAGTTGGCCTTGGGGACAAGAGAGTAGACCAGAACAGGGTCACAGGGGCCCACTGGCCCTGACCTCCTAAAGGACAGAAATTTAAGCTGCATCTGGTAGTGTGGCCTGTAATCTCAGGTACTTTGGTGGTTGAGACAGAAGGAACACAAATTCAAGGCCAGCCTGGGCAACTTAGGGAGACCCTGTCTCAAAACAGAAAGTAAAGAGAAGGCTGGGGGCCGGGGAGTGGGTTCAGCATACAAAAGCAGTTCTGGAACAAGCCGGACAATCTAAGTTCAATATCCACAACCCACATGGTAGCCTCTGACCTCCACAAGTGCATTGTGTTATGAGTTCACACACGCATACAATAATGACAATTAAAAATAAATAATCAGATAAAAACGAGGGCTCAAAGAGTCCATGTGATGGTTCATACTCCTAATTCTAGCACTCAGGTACGAGGTAAGAGAACTGGATTGCTTTGAGCTCCAGACCAGCCTGGCTCACAGTAAGAGCCTGCCAAAAAGAAACCAAACCAAACCAAACCAAAAAAAAGATGAGGCTAGACAGTGCCAGCATGTATACTCTAGGCTTGGTACCAAGCACAACACATGGGCCAAAGACAAAGACAGACGCTTACCTAATGGGGATGGAGGTGCTCTTTCATCCAGCATTCGGCCCAGCAGCCCTGCATTACCCAAGTTTGGGGGCATGGTGTTGCTCCGTCGAACAGGGGCTGGGCGTCCCCCTATTTGCTGGGGTCCCACCAGGCTGTGCCGGTTTCTCCGCTTCACTGGGAATACTATAGTGCAGGGGAGTGTCAGTCACCATAATCATAATCATGGCGGGCTGTGAACACTGAAACTACAACAGGCATGAATGCCCCATGTGGGGCATAGTGACCCGGGGAAGGTGTGCCGTGGTACCAGGATATGGCATTCTATGACCCAGAAGACTATGACAGAGAAAGAGCCAGTTTGGTGCTGTTATGGCATTGATACCTTTCTACTATTTGCTAACTTTCGTCAGGCCTGGTAGGTAAGTCTGTAATTGTAACTACTTGGCAATCTGGAGCTGGAGAATTGCAACAAGGTCAGGCTGGGCAACTAAATGAGATCCTATCTCAACAAACAACAAGAAAACAAACCAGAAGAGGGGTGGTGAGATGTCTCAGTGGGTGAAGGCGCTTGTCACCAAGACTAACAATCGTGACTTTGATCCTGGGACCCGTGTGGTGGAAGGAGAGAAATGATTCTGAAAAGCTGTCCTCCGATCTCCTTACATGCCCCCCACCAAGTGCCCCAGTAAATAAATACATATAATAACTATTTTCTTTTTAAAGTAAAGATAGAGATGGGCTGTATCTCAGAATATGTATATGTATAACTGTAGAATATGTTTCCAGAATTTACCCAGGAAGGACTGTGGGCAGATGTAGAACACACACCTAGAATTCCCCAAGGTTTGGGGGTGTGGCTCCATGCTACAGCACCTGCCGGGTGCCAACTCCAGTACTATAGTAAATCATAATAAAATAAAGAATATAATGCAGGCACTACAGAGATGGCTTTTGGGTAAAGTACTCGCTATACACCGAGAGCTAGGAAGGTAGACCAAGGCAAATCCTCACACTTTGTGCACAAGTGAGTTTAGCCAATCGGTAAATGCTAGGTTTGTTGACACAGGGTCACAACAACAACAATAATAATAACTATTATTAATAATTATTATTATAAATAAATTAAAAATTTGGTTCTCTTCCCTCCTAATAAAGGGAACCAACCTTCTTTTTTGGGAGAAAGAACATTGTTCTGGCTTTTTGTTGTGGTGTTTGTTTTGAAGCATGGTCTCCCAGTGTCTCCCTGACTATCCTGGAACTGGATATGTAAGCCAAGCTGTTCTCCAGCTCACAGAGATCCCCTGCCTCAGCACTAGGATTAAAGGCATGCGTTGCCATGCCCAGCCGTTCTGTTCAGGCTTTATTTTCACATTTCTACTGTATTTGTGGTATATAGTTAGTAGCTAATGCTTATATTTTAAATGCTTGTTTTTTTGTTCCGTGTTTCTCTTTTCTGAAAAACAGGGTAAAACTTAAGACTACACCTCCCATCAGGCTCTAGTGCATGCTTCATGGAAATGTTGTTTCCTATTTCCTGTCCAAGCATCCAATAGAACTACAACTCCCATTACAGCTCTAGGCTCCAAATACAAGTACCTAAGGGTCTGAAGTCTTATGGGAAATGTAGTCTTTAACCCAATCTCCCACTCCCCGGCATCTACTGGGAGTGCCTACCTGGAGGAGGTAGATAACCATTGAAGAGGACATTTCCACAGGAAGATCGATCCAACTCTTCCCTTACCTGCAGGCGACGAACTACAAGGGAAGGACTCAAAACTTGATCTTGAGGGTTACGAAGGCAGACCCATGACCCTCTCTCCTCATGTGGTTTTCCACAGAACTGCCAACCAACTCCTTCAGAGCCAGACCCAAACTCAGTGCTCTTAGCTCTAACCCAACCATCTTTCTGACTGGGCAAGTCAAAAAGATAGGGAATGCTCAGGAAGTAACTGAGCATGCTGACTTAGCGGGGGGGGGGGGCCACTCACACTTACCGAGTGGAGTGAGCCCATAGAATTGGGCTTCATGGAGGAGGCTGGACCCATGGATACCCCTGGGTAATAGAAGAGAATTGGGATAAAAGTTTGGGGTGTTTGGGGTGGGCAGCACATTCTGAGAAGGTTTTTGAAACTGCTAGTATTGACAGGCTTAAGATTCTAGGGGGTTTGAGGATGGTGCACACCTGCCACCCTGGAACATAGGAAGTAGAGGCAAGAGGATCAAAGTAAGTTTAGCCGGGTGGTGATGGCACAAGCTTTTAATCCCAGCATTTGGGAGGGAGAGGCAGGCTAATATCTAAGGAGTTTGAAGCCAGCCTGGTCCACAGAGGGAGTTCCAGGACAGAAAGAAGGAAGGAAGGAAGGAAGGAAGGAAGGAAGGAAGGAAGGAAGGAAGGAAGGAAGATAGATAGATAGATAGATAGATAGATAGATAGATAGATAGATAGATAGATAAGTCAGCCTGGTCTGGACTGAGATTTCTAGGCAGCCAGGGCTAAAATACTTTTAAAATACTTCTTAAACCGGGCAGTGGTGGCGCACGTCTTTAAACCCAGCACTTGGGAGGCAGAGGCAGGCGGATCTCTGTGAGTTCAAGGCCAGCCTGGGCTACAAAAGCCAGTTCTAGGACAGGCTCTAAAGCTACAGAGAAACCCTGTCTTGATAAACAAACAAACAAAAAAAATACTTTTTTTAAAAAAATCTAGGGAACAAACATGTGTGCACATATTTGGAGGGGGGTGTAGAACATGATCAGGACTGAATAATTCGAATCGAATGGAACACATGGGCAGACACTCCGAGAAGGAGGAGAAACTTTCATGATGGGGGAACGTACCCCCTTACCCATACCAACCTGGGGTCTAACTCTTTGGTCCGCAGGAAGTTGAGGATGGGGGCAAAGACGGTGGGGTCCCTGTCGATGAAGATCTGCATGGGGGGAGCATGGCAACCGGGAGTGAGTAGGAAGTCCTGTCCTTCCTCCCACTGGCCATCCCACTTTTGATCTCGCCCTACTCACAGCTCCGGTCTCATCTTTCAGAGTTGAGATGCGTCCGCTCAAAAGACTACAGGAAGGGGAAGCCGAGGAGGTGTCACGGGCCGAGTTGCAGAGGTGAGTAAAGGTGGAAATAAGCCTTCCCACACCCTTTCCTTTCATCCCCCTCCTACCCTCGCCCCAAACTGGCTCTTCTAATCACCTGGAGAAGAAAGAATCTGGGATCCAGGTGAGCGTCTGGCGAGAGGTACTGAACCTGGGGCCATGAGGTAAGAAAAGGAAACAGATGACGGGGAGGTGAGGACCGCTGCCTTCTCCCACGCGATCCAGGCACGGAAACTTCCCTTCTTTGGCATTTTTTTTTTTTTTAATCCAAGCGCCAAGCCTCTAGCACGGGGCGGAGCAACCCTTGATGGACAGGGATTACCACCCCCACCCCTAGAAGAGGCGGGTATCACGCCTTCGTCCCGTAGGATGGGGCCTCGGGGATCTCCCACACTCACCGCTTGCCCCCTACGTTCAGATTGATTACTTCCCCCGGGGATCCCCGACTCGGGACCCCCTCCGCGGCGGTCGTAGCAACAGCCATGGCCCCCGGCGAGCCTGCCGGCCTGGACCTACTTCCGGGTGCGCACAGACCCCGCCCCTGATGCTTGCTCATTGGTTTAGAGATTCCAGCATTCTCCGACGATTGGACAGAGCGCTCACTCTTCGCAATTACGTTTCTCTGACTCTTTAAAGCCGGGCAGCCTTTCCTGACCTCGATGGGGCGCATCTCTCAGATGCTTTGGGGTAGTTTAATAACTTCCCCTTATTTCTAGGGTTCCCTTATTTAGGCATAATATCTAGGCGACTCGTTGAAGAGTACGTGTGCAGATCCTGAAAGGAGCCTACACCAATGGGCAGGTACATCCAGAGTCTGGTAGACGCTCTTCGCACCGGCGTCCCCACACCAGCCCACCCTCCAATCTTGTTTCAGGCACGCGAACAAACCAGCGTAGACCGTCAAAGCCAAAGGGTTTATTATAGGTACATACAGTGTGCGCCAGCCACACCGCCCCGCACCCCAGGCCCTGGCGACATCTTCGGGCAGCCACTGGGGCTGCCTGTAACCCTGATCCTCCGACTCCCAGGGAGGTGCTCCAGCCAGAAGCATGCAGGGGGGAGGACTTCCCCACCCCCCTCCCCTCGGGAAGTGGCATTTACAGCTGGATGGGGGAGGAGAGAGGAAGACAATTTTGAACTTTGACTCCCATCCTATTAAAAGCCTTCGCGGATGCGGGGCGGGGGAAGGAAGGAGAGGTCTACATTTTTGCAAAAATAAACTAAGTCAGGAATTAACCGCATGGCTCTGAGATGGCGGAGTGCAGGGGCTAAGGGCCCCTTCGCTCCCTCTTCCCAGACAGATCAAGGCAGCATTGGAAGTGAGGTAAAGGCAGGGAGGAAGTGTGTCCCCTCCCCACCCCCTAGCACCCTGGATGGTCCAGGGGACCTCACCAGCGCCCCCGTGTCCATCCTTAGGGCGGAGAGGAGGCCAACGAATACCACCACCACCTCCCAGCTCCCTTGCCACTCCGGCTTCTTGGGGCAGGATCTGACGATGGGGCAGGGGCTTGGCTCAACTGGCTCCCTGCCCGTCCCCACCAAGCTCAGTTATTGCATAAAAAGAATGGAGCCCCAGCACCTGGGGTGGGGTTGGCGAGCGGGAAGGGACCGAGATATGGCTATAGGGACAGCAATCCCCCACCACCATTTCTTGGAGTGCAGGAGAAGTCCCTTCCATTCCAGGGTCCACCGTGACACATCCTCAGTCTTTCCTGCCCTTGCGGATGAAAAGGTGTCTTTGTGTCCACAGTGCGGAGAGGAGGGGCAAGGAGACTTGTCAGACTCCAAGTGGGGAGGGTACCTGGAGTCACTTCCGGCGTCCGCTGGCCCTACGCTCCGCACCCTCACGTTTGGGGTTGCCCTCATCTGTGGATGATGTAGTAGGTAGTGTCTGACCCCAGCGGGCGATCTCGGCGTGTTCCGCCACTGAGTTAGCTACAGCCTCCAGCCAGCCATTCATCTCCTCCTAGCGGAAAAAGCAGGACAGGTCCGTCTCTGGGGGAGGATCTCAACCACACTGCCCTCCCTTCTGTTATCTGGGTAATGCTGATAGTGAGGCTAAGGGGACTCCTCTCTAAGCCCTTCTGTGGATTTATTCGCTTAAATAGAAGCAATAGCACCATCTGTAAGACACCCCCCCCCCGCAACAGATGAACAACCTAAATGAAGGGAAGATTTGAGCAGAAACTTGCAGAGCCTCGACCTCTGCCTGTGCTAATTGGCCTCCATGTACCAACTTACTTCACTTTTCACAAAAGCTCTCAGATAAATTATTTGGGGGCCAGAAAGAGAGCTCAGTGGGTAACAGCACATTGGAGCCTGATGAACAGTGTTTGATCAGCAGGACCCGCACAGCGGAAGGAGAGCACTGACACAGGGAGGCCTCTACCTGCACACCCAAGGCATAATACATGTGCACACACACACATACTCATGAACACACACGCAAAAATAAAAGGTAATGGAGCAGGGTGGTGGGGAACCCTTTATCCCAGTACTTGGGAGGCAGGGGTAGGAGGACCTCTGGGAGTTTGAGGTCAGCCTGATCTACATAGAAAAGTTCCAGGACTACATAGAGAAACTGTCTCAAAAAGAAAAATAGAAACCAGATTTAGGAACTTGAGAGATGGCTCCATGAGTAAGAATACTGGCTGTCCTTCTGTGGGACCAGGATTCCATTCTCAGCACCCACATGAGCATCTGTTTCAGAGGATACACCACCCTCTTCTAGCCGTGGTGGTGAACCAGGCAGCCACACGCACATGCGTGCACACACACACACACACACACACACATGCAGGCAAGCATACAGATAAAAATAAACATTTTTTAAAAATTTAAAAGGATCTTTTTAAAAAACCTCATTCTTTCATTTGTGTGATGCTTAAGAATGTGTGCTGGGGGTGGGACATGCGTTGTGCACATGTGTGGAGGCCAGGAGAGGATCCAAGAGTCCTGCTCTATTACCTCCTGCCTATTTTCCCCCAAACAGGGTCTCCAGCAATTGCCCCCTACAATTATGGGGTTGTTCATGGGCAGCCATGCCTGGCTCGCTCTTTCTCTTTCTTTCTTTCTTTCTTTCTTTCTTTCTTTCTTTCTTCCTTCCTTCCTTCCTTCCTTCCTTCCTTCCTTCCTTCCTTCCTTTCTTCCTTCCTTCCTTTCTTGCTTTCTATGTGAATACTGGAATTCAAATAATGTCCTCAGGCTTGAACGGCAACTTTCTTACCACCGAACGGCTTCTCTAGTCCTATAGGGGGTGTGTGATGCTTCACATCAACTCTCCTCTCAACAACCCTCACCCCAGTGCACTCAGGATAGAATCCTCTCCTGGATACCCCCAATACTGAGAGATCCAGTCCCCAGAAACCTTTCTGAGACCATCTACTTCAGCTCAGCTGTCCTGCAGTTGGCTGTCGTAAGCCTTCGCAGTTCTGCCTTTTTGGTTATCTCTATGGGATCACACATCTTCCCTTTTCTTTAGCTAGGTTACCATAGGATGGCCTCATTCTCACTCTGTAGCCCAGGATTGATCCTCTTGCTTCCACCTCCCATATGCTGAGATTACAGAAAATGACCACACCCAACCTTGATCACTCCCTTTTTGGAGGGAGGAAGGTATTTCAGGACAGGGTTTTTCTCTGGGCAGCCCTGGCTGTCCTCAAACTCACTCTGTAGTCCAGGCTGACCTCGAACTCAGTGATCCTCCTGCCTCTGTCTCCCAAGTGCTGGGATTACAGCCTCTATTTTTAAAAATTGTGTTGGTGTGAATATATGCCATGCGTGTATGGGTGTCCTCGGAGCCAGAAGAGGGTGTTAGATCCCCTAGAGCTGTAGATACAGGGAGTTGTGAGCTGCCCTACATGGATGAAAAGAACCAAACTTGAGTCTTCCTGAAAAGCAGGGAGTACTCTTAACCACTGAGCCATCTCCCTAGAGCGTTGGTGACTCCCTTTTAAACCTACACCTCCTGTCTCCCCAGCCTCCTGAGTGGCTATGACAAAGACGACGAACTTAGCAATCATGGCCACAGGGCACTTTCCCTGGACCCCTCCCCATCCCCCCCCCCCCCCCCCCCGGTCTTATGAAGCTCTCTGGGCTCTCTGGACCTCTCCCCATCCCCCCTGTTTTATGAAGCTCTCTGGGCTCTCACTGCTTTCCTGTTACAGTTCTGATAGTTTTGGCCTGTGTGGGTCCTTCTACAGCCCCAACTCCTTGATTCAGGAACCAACCAGGAAGCTAGACCACTTAGAGATCAACCTATGGCGTGAAAGAACCAACTCTTACCTCATCTTTAGCTTGGAGCAAGAACTCGCTGCCATCATGGGTCCTGCAGGAGACATAGGACTTTAGGGATCTTGAGGAGCCCAACCCCTGCTCCCATCCATTGCCTTTCAAGTAAACTAAGAGCCCACAGGAGAAATAAAGCAAGGTGGAGCCCCCTCCCTTCTGCCCAACTGAGGGACTCACTGGAGCTTGAAGACATGTTTCTTTTTCTTGTAGTCACTAGCCACCTCGCTGGTGGCCTTGTGCAGGCTGAGCAGTGGTTCCCCACCATGCGTGCCCCCCGATGATGGGCCTTTGGAGTCCTTGTAGAAACCTAGCTCCCCCTTGCTGAGCACACAGTACAGGCTCACCCATGACCTGGGGGTGGTGAGATGGCAACAACTGAGGCAGAGCTGCAGAATTCTGTTTGGGAACTCTACATCATTACCGTCATAGAGCACATGCTTGATCTTGCTACCTCTGGACCTTCCTACATCTGGCCCTTTGTCCTAGTTACTTAGGCCAGGCTGATCTTCCACAAGGCAGGTCCGGTTCTGGGAGGTGTGACTAGTGCTCCCAGAACCAAGAGTTTGCCCAGGCTGGTCCCTGCTGGCTAACCCTTCCTTGTCTCGTTTCATATTGACTTTCCTAAAAGCGAGACATGAGCTGTTCGGATAGGAAGACAGCCAGCGGTAGGTAGAGCCCCTGTCTAGGATTCACTAGCGAGGAGCTGGGGGTATATCTCAGTGGTAGAACATGAGGCCACGGGCTTGATCCCCAGTCCTAAAAGAATTAAACTGACTCATATGCACACCGTGTTTCATTCATTGATCTCACTTTTCCCACGCATCACCTTCTCTGGTTCTCATTTCCCCACCCTTCACCAAGTTCCTTCAAGAAAGATGTAAGGTCCTACAGTTTGAAACAAGATCTGGTCTCCCCATGCAGCCAAAGTCCCTGTCTAGGAAGAAGTTCCCAGTTAGGAAAGTAACATTCAACAGGTGTCAGTGTTCATTCCAACGTTGGTCTAGGGACGAGGAAGAAAATAGTGACTTCAGTCAGCACCAGCAAAGCCTCAGCCTGTCCTGCTCCCTTCTTGTCCTGGGTCCGACTTTACTTGCCCCACATTTTCCATCTCAGTTGGACAAAAATACACTGGACAAGTACAAGCTGAACTCACTTCAAAGTAAACATGCACACACTCATGCACACAAACACACACGTGCAAACGGGTTAGGGCCTGAGGAGATGGCTCAGAGAATAAGGCACTTACAGCCAAGCCTTAGAGCCTGAGTTCAATCGCAGGGACCCACATGGTGGAAGGAGAGAACCGACTCCTGCCAGTTGTCCTCTGACCTCCACATACAACTTCCACCCCCAACACAAATAAATGTAGTTTAGACAATTTAAGAAAAAGCTGGCCGGGCGGCGGTGGGGCACGCTTTTAATCCCAGCCCTTAGGAGGCAGAGGCAGGCATATCTCTGTGAGTTGGAGGCCAGCCTGATCTATAAGAGCTAGTTTCTGGACAGGCTCTAAAGCTACAGCGAAACCCTGTCTCGAAAAACAAACAAACAACCCCCCCCAAAAAAAAAAACAAAAGAAAAGAAAAAGAAAAGCTGCTCATCTGGAAATCTGAGATAACTTCCAACATTCCAAAACTAGGTACTCAGTTGAGGCTCTGCTCCTTTTCCGAACCCCATTGGAAATTTCATGAGGGTGTGAGGGGGATCCATCCCGTCATCCCCCTCATTGATTGGAGCCATCTTGAAGCTCCAGTTCACACCGCACTGGAATCATCCAGATTAGACACTACTTCAGGTTTGCTCCTTAGCCACAGTCAACACCTAGGGTGGTCGCTGAGATCGAATCCCAATTTATTCACGTTAGGGGCACTTCGGTCACGCGCCCATCTAGCTCGATCCTCTTAGCTATTCGACACTCTAAACATCGACCACGCCCCTCCCCTTCACGGGTTGGAGTCTTTGAATTTGAGCCCCGCCCCCTCCCATCCAGTTACTCATTCATGAAACACCCTGAGCGGACTCCCAGCCATTCAAAGCCCCGCCCACGCGCTCACCGGTTGGACGACTTGCGGTTAGCGTCGAGCTCGCGCTTGCGCAGCAGGAAGCCCTCGTGCTGCACTGTGTGAGTGGGCGGAGGCGGAGGAGCGGGGGCGGAGCCTCCCTGGGCAGGGGCGGAGCGCGAGCGCCGGCTTCCCCCGCCCTCACCACCCTCTCGAGGCCGTGGCCGCCGGCGTGGCTTGGGCCGGTCCCGTGCCCGCGGCCGATCGGGCCGAGGTGTCCGCTCGGGCGGCTCAAGCCCGTTGGGCAGGCGACCGGGGGGAAGCTCACGAGGTTGAGGCAGCGACGGCTGTGTGAATGAAGGGAGTGGGGAGAGGGGTACTGTCCATGATGACTAGCGGGGAGCATCCTGTCTCGGGGAGCCTTAGGGCCAGGGGTCCCATCGGTCTGCAGGGCCGCCTATCTTGGAAGGGAACATGAGAAGACCCTCAGGGCTGAGGGGACCCCCTTGGGTTTTGGGAACCGGTCATTCGAATTTAGACCTTGGAATTCTGGAAGCTGGAAGGTAGGGACAGGGTCTAAGGAGGTATACTAGTGGAAGGGCCTAGAATTTCTGTGTGAGGAATCTTGGGGTGGTCTCTTGTGTGGCTAATGAGGAAACTGGGGACCCCCACAAGGCTGGAAAAATAGGGAGTCTAAAACAGACGGGACAGAGTTTAGAGTCTAATCCTTGTGTGTGAAGGGAGAAATAAGGGTCCTGGGTTTGTGGCTCCATATGCTGACTGCAAGGTCCTGGAAGGAGGATGGGCCTGTGCAAGGATTGCCTCTTGAGATCCTGGCCACTAAGAGGGCTTCTACCACCACCCATCCCTGTAACTCAACTTACCACCCCAGCAGGGAGCCCAGGGCCTGCCTCCTTCTCCTGCAGCTGCTCCACAATGTCTGCAAGGGTGGCCTTCCTGGAGAACAAGGGCAGAAGACCCAAATGAGATGCAGTACCTTTGGCTAGGGCCCTGATGCCTGAACAGTCATACCAGGCCTCCATACCAGGCCCCTGCCCACAACTCAGCAGTCTCACACATGTGTGCCTTGCACACCGTAGGTGTTCCTGACACAGCTACTCATTGTTCAACCAAATTCATCTCTTCAAGGTTTTTTTAAAAATTTGTTTAGTTGACTTTTTAAAATAGGTTTGTGTGTGTGTGTCTGTGTGTCTGTGTGTCTGTGTGTCTGTGCCGTGTGGGTACCTGCTGACTGCAGAGGCCAGAGGAAGGCACTGTATCCTCTGGAGCTGAAGTTCCAAACGGTGTGGGCCACCCAATGTGGGTGCTTGAAACAAACTGGGGTCCTATGGACAGCAACAAGTGCTTGACCACTGTGCCATCTCTTCAACCTTTGATTGATTTACTTGAGTCAAGGTCTGACCTCTGGCCTCTCTGAGGATGACCCTGAACCATCACTCCTCCTGCTGTCTCCCAAGTGATGGGGGTGTACAGACCAGGGCCACCACAATCCAATTACTTGTTTGTTTTAGAGACAGAATCGCTAGCCCTGGTGCTCAGGATATAGGCAGAGTGGTTGGTCTGGAACTCAGTCCTTCCCACCTAAGGGCTGTGGTCACACATGAACGAGCTCACTCTGCTGTCCTCTGAGCTTTGCTTGTTTGACTGATTGATGATTTTTCCTGAGACAGGGTCTCTCTATGCAGCCCTGGCTGTCCTGGAACTCACTCTGTAGACCAGGCTGACTTTGAACTCACAGACTTCCTCCTGCCTGGTCTCCTGAGTGCTGTGATTGATTAAAGGTGTGCACCACCACCGCCTGCCTGTCCTTTGAGTTTTAAGCAGAGCAAAAGGCAAGCTGGCGTCTTTGAGCTTTTAAACATACTGTTGAGTTCTTTACACATCTCCCTGAGTTTCTAAATCCCCTGGGCTTTTCCTCCCAGTCCTAAATGTCTCCGGTCTTCACAGTCTAGTGAAAAGTCTGTTTCTGTCACTGTTCCTGGGCCTCCCGCCATGGCCTCAGAGATGCTAGCATTACAGGCTTGCCACCACCATGCTCACTTGGGTAGTTCTGAGCCCAGAAGCTCAGCCCTTGGGTCCTCTAGGCCACAGCTTTCCCTTCCCCTAACACCTTGGTCACAGAGGTCCTCACCCTTTGACCAGCTCTCCCCTGGTTGGTGTCTCCTGTTCGCTAGACTCCTGTCTCTCCAACCTCCTTTCCCGCCGCTCCCGCCGCCTCTCCATCTGCTCATAGCGACCCAAAGTAAGGCTGTGTGGTGCCTCGTGGTCCGCGGACTCCTGGCGCTCGGATCGCCGCCTCCGCGCAGCCTCTTCTGGTTGTTCGGTGGACTCCTGGCGTTCTGACCGTCGTCTCCGTGGCAGCTCCTCCGCACGATCTGCTGACTCCCGGCGCTCCGGCCGGGGCCGGACCTGCTCTGTCACCGCCGGGGTTCCAGGGGTGTCCGTCGTGTCCAGAGCTGTGGCTGTTGGGGCCGCGGGTTCTACCCTCCCCGGGACCTCAGGGAGCCGGTCAATACGCGGTTGGAGACGCTCGGGCTTGAGCTCCTGGCGCACATACCCAACCCGGGTCCGTACCTCGGCTGACAGCGTGTCCGAGGCTCGGCGAGCCAAGGGCTCATAACCCCCTGGACGTAGCAAAGGCGCTGCCTTGGCCGCCAGTTCGGTGGGGTCCCCAAAGAACTTGCGCCCCAGCAAGGGGGTGGGTGGCTGCTTGCTCTGCTCTGCCTTGAGTTTCTCGATCTGGTGGGGCGGGGTAGAAAAGTCAGGTCGGGGGGGGGGGGAATAGGGCGGGGTCTAGGTAGCGTTCGCGAAGGTCTGGGCTTTGTTCCTCATTGCTTAGCTTAGCTCCTCGGAAAAACAGGGTTTTCAGGCACTGCCTATTGGCCAACACCAAATCCTTGTTCTTTCCACAAACACCCATTGATCTCGTAGGGGTAAAGGGGCCTCTTCCTCTCCTCCGACCCTGTCTTTCTGCCTCCCTTCCCTTCCCTTCTGCTTGTTTTGGTCTTTGTTTTGTGGAGTGTGTGTGGTGGGAACTACATGGAAGACAGGGCTTCATGTAGCCCAGACTGGCTCCAAACTCGGTTGACCTTGCGCTAATGTCTGATGGCTTCTGTTGCCACCTCCTAAATGCTGGGGATGCAGGTGTGTGCACCACTCCATCTGACAGCTAAACTGTCACTTTCTCTGGGTGCTTTCCTGACCCCTTCCACCCATACCTTTTTTAACAGTCCTCCTCAGGACCTTGAGACTTTTTTTTTTTTTAAATCACAAGGTCTTTGCATTCACAGTGTTGTTCTTCAAGTCTCATACTGGACTCCTCAAGACCAGACCAAGGGCTTCTGGGTTCCCACAGCCCCTTCAAATCTTCCTATCTCATCTCCCCAGACTCAACCTATTTTTCATCAAAATTTTTGGGCCTCTCTGGGTTCTTAACAGTCAGTTACAGGTATGTCCTTCTGCCTTCCCTTACAGCCCAGGAAGGACTTGTGTCCAGTGCTGCCCAGTGCAGGGCCAGGCACCCAAGCAAGTCTAATACAGAGGGATGTGGGATCTGGGGTCTGACCGTGGTCAAGCGCCGTAGAGAGCTGAACCTCTCCTCCCAGGCTGCGGCTGCTTTTCGGAAGGCCTCATGTCGCCGGATCAGCTGCTCCACCTCATCCACACTGCTGCCCAGCTCCCGGCTCTGCAGGAGTGGCTCCTGGGCTGTCAGCCAGGCATCAGCCACCACGGCCTCCTGAGCAAACTGGTGCACCTCCAGCACTGGGGGCAGGCATAGGAGGTGAGGCGCCAGGAGAGCCTCAGACCTTTCCCTGGGGTGGGAGCTGAGGTTTTCTGGCCATTCCCTCAGACTACCCCCAGTCCAGTCTTCAGAGTAATGAGGACTTAAAAATTGTATTTATTGTGTGTGCATTAGGGTACGCTCATGTGGGGGGCTGAGCTCAAAAGTAAGACAGCCCTCTCATCCACCCTCCCAGCCCTAGGGGTTTGGTTCTGGGCACCCGAGGGTGACATGCAAAGCTCATGTCACTTGTCATCCTCTGGCCTTGGGCAGACATGCAGGGGTTTGTCCCCTGCGCCACGGAGGCACTGGCGTGTAGGCCCTTACTCACTCTGCTGCAGCCACTCCCAGTGACGGTCCCACTTCTCAGACACCTCCTCCTTCCGGGTTCCCAGCTTGTCCAGCTGTGCCTGGATCTGAAAGTGTGTGGGTGGGGTGAGAGAGGCATGGGGTAGGCAAAAGGTAGGAGCAGAGAGGGGACCCCATGTTTCTCCCCCACCTCATCAGCCATGGCACTCTTGTTGAGTAACAGGGAGCGCCCCAACTCCTGGCAGGCCGTCAGCTCAGGCACACGAGCCTCCAGTTCTGTCTTCAGACCCTGGTGGTAGTTCATAAGCACCTCCACCGACGACACATCCCTGCAGGGGGAGGGGACAGGGAGCTAAGCTGCATGCAACCACCCTCGGGCTGCCCCTTAGATGCAGCTCCCAATGAGCGCATTGACACTGCCGTTCTACAGAATCCCAGGACAGCGACCTTCTCTGGCCAAGTTCTGAGGTCCTGGAGAATTTAGTGATCCGAAAGTGCCAAAGTTTGCTTTAGTGTACCTAGAACTTCAGGTCCAATTTCCCTTCCTTCTCCGTCCCTTCAACAGGGTCTCATGTAGCACATGCTGGCCTGGAACTTGCTATGTAGTTGAAGATGACTGAGTTACACCCTCAACTCTTGTGTTTGTTTTTTTATTTTGAGGCAGGGTCTTGCTAAGTTATCCATCTAGCCCTGAACTCATTCTGCTGCCTCAGCTTCCTGAATATCCAAGTTGATCTGCCTGTGCCACCAGGCTTAGCTCAGGTTTGACTTCTGCTGGACACTGACCCAAAACTACTGCGTAAAGATCTAAGGAGTACCTACTAGGTTAAGTTGCAGGATCTGCTTTATTGACTGTGACAAATGGTCTCACAGCTTTCTCTTGGTCCTGGCCAGGCCTTACTGTGACATGCCCACAGGGAGGCCAGTGTGAACACCGGGATAGGATCGAGGGCAGAAAGCGTCCTAGGCCAAGCCTAAAAGGGATCCTCACACATCCGAAGCACCCAGAACACTGCCTGGCACACAGAGGCACTTTCCGAAGGGGCTGTTGGAGGTCTGGGCAGCTACTGAAGACTGCCAGAGGTAGGCAAAAAGCCCAAGATGAGGCAGGAGGCACCTGGGTTTGTCCGCTGCCCCGATCTGGCCCGCGATGCCATCCATCCAGGAAAGCAGGTCACGGGCCTGGCTGTGGAATCGCAGTGCATCAGCGGTGGAGCTGACGTGCAGACGAGCATCCTCACAGGCTGCCAGCAGCTCCTTCCAACCCTGCAACACCTCCTGCTCGCGGCTGGCGATGGTCTCGGCGTGCTCGCCCGCGTACACCGTCCGCAGCTGGGCCGCCCCCTCCTGCAGCTGGCGTACCTGAGGGGCATGACCCGCCGTGCGTGGGCACAGGCTCCGCCCTCCTATTCATCTCACTTGACCCAGCCTCCTCCCTTTCTTCCTACAGCACCTGTGGCTCCCGTCTCTCCTCAGTGGTTCAGGCTCCTCCCTTCTCCGCCCCCGTAGCTCAGGTTCCTCCCTTTACTCCGCCTCCACAGCCCAGGTTCTTACCCAGGCCCCTGCCTTTTGACTGAAGCTCATCCCTCTTCCCCCCACGTGGCTAAGCTCCACCCTCTTTCTTCCCTAAGGCCCCTGGACCACCTTCTGACTCAGTACCACAGGTCCCTTAGGCCTGCTGCCTGTTCCTTCACTGACCTACCCGTACCCATGCTCTAGCTTTTGTCTTTACTACCTAGAACTCTAGCTCTGACAACCCCTTCTGCCGTGTCCATTGCCTGCTTTTCCACACAAGTCCGCCTTTCTCCTCTCTTAGAGCCATCTGATTTTCCCAGGAGCCCTCTTTCTACCCCGGTGTCTGTTTGGTATAATTCCCGTTTCCCCCCCCCCCCCCCCCCCGTTTACATCAGACCTACTAGTCACCTACTAGTACCCAGCTTCCAATACCTTCCCAATTTTTGTTTTGAGTCAAGGTTTCACTGTGTAGTCAAATTAGCCTAAATTCGGGATCTTCCTGGGATTATGGGGGTGTGATGTTATATCTGGCAGATCACATAATTTTTTTTCTTTCTTTTCTTTTTTTTCTTTTGCGACAGGGTCATGCTTTGTAGCCTAGCCGGACCTTGAACTCTTGATGATCCTCCTGTCTCAGCCTCCTTGTGTTTAAGATTTTAAGGTTTCAGGCGTGAGCTACCACACCCAGCTTAGACCTTTCCGCCTCTGGTAGAGGCAGGAAGCTCGCTGCAAGTTCAAGGTCAGCCTGGTACAGTTAAAAAGTCTCAAGCCAGTTAGGATTGTCTGTCTTTTAAAAAAAAAAAAAAGTAATAAATTTCAGTATTGCCACCCACCCCCAATCTCGACTGAATTCCCTGGCACAGTGAAAGATCTCCACTTTCTATCTGTCCAGTTTCCCCTTGTCCCCAGGCCACTTTCTCTGTCCACTGCCAGCCTGCCTGACTCCACAGCAGCTGTCTGCTCTGTTGCCTACACTCCCAGCCGCACTACCCAGGCCCTCCCACCCTGCTCTTCAGCTGCCAATCACCCCACCTGGGACACGAGGAGTTGCAGGTCGTGTTCAAAGGCTCGCAGGGTTCGCTGCATGGAGCTGGCACTGGGTCTGGGCTCTGGTGGTGCCGTCAGGCGGGGCAGCCGCCTCCGCTTCTCCTCAATCTGCCCTTGAAGCTCTCGCGCGTCGCTGAAGAACTTATGCAGCTCCCGAGAGGCAGCGAGCAGCTGGGCCCGAGTGCCCATGAGCTCCAGGAGTTCCGCCCAGGCCTCGTTCAGCCCGTCCTTCCACTCAGCCATGGTGGCCGCCGCTGTGTGGCCGCACTCAATCAGCTCGTCCACCATCTGGTTGACCGCTGCCAGCCGCTCCCGCCCTGCTGTTCCGGTCTCACTGGCGAACTCCGAAAATTTCTCCTGTAGCACCTGGGACCAGGACAAGGAGTGGGGTGAGAAAAGATACCTAAGTGGGTGACAATGCTACACACCCCAGCCCCCTCCAACCTGTTACCATGTGATAGACAGGAATCATGAAATAAGCATTCTTATAATAAAATAACATCTAATAGTTCTTGAGCATTCTGTAGCATTAATAGAAATAGTAAATTGTACAGAATATGATATATAGTATTAATAACTGACACCATGCTAGGCACTGAGTGTAGCATGTGTGATGTTTTGTGTGTATGTGTGTGACAGGGTCTTAGGTAGCCTGTAATTCCTGATTCACCTGCTCTCACCTCTCAGGTGCCACGAGTGCTTCTCCGTGTTTTACAGCATATAAACGCATGTGTTTCAGGGCCGTGCGGTGAGGTCATTCGAAAGGAGGTCCAGAGGCCTTCATAGGATACACAGTGGCCGCTAGTATTGTTGGTGTGTGGTGGTTTGAATGAGAAGGGCCCCCATAGGTTCATATGTTTGAATACTTGGTCTCTAGTTAGTGGAAGTGTTTGGGAAGAATTAGGAGGCGTGGCCTCATTGGAGAAAGTATGTCACTGGGGGTAGACTTTTTGAGGTTTTCAAAGACTTGGGCCATCCCAATGTGCCTTTCTCTGCCTCCTACTTTTGGATCAAGATGTTGGCTCTCAGCTGTTCCTGCCACCATACCCCTCTCTACTCCACCATCATGGACTCAAACCCTCTGACACTATAAAGCCAATTAAACACCTTCTTTTATAAGCTGCCTTGGTCACAGTGCTTTGTTGCAACAGAAACATAACTAAGACATGGAATTCACAAGACCCCTCACCGACACATGCTCGAAGTCCTGGCCCAGCTCAGGGGAGCCAGCCACCACCTCCTTCTCGGCAATCCAGTGTTCCAGCTCGTCCACCTGGCGGCTGAGCTGGTATAGCCAGTACTGCTGTTCCAGGCTCACCCTGCGTTCTTCACCCAGCTCCTTGAGGGCCACATAGAGGCGATCCACCTGGGACTGTCGCCGGCTGATCTGTTCACTGAGGGCGAAGATACGGGACAATAGGAAGCCCCTAAGACTCCCTCCCAAGGGAGGACTGTTTCATCCTGAATCTTTGCCAGGGTCCTGTCTCTTAAGATCCCCTCTGGTGGGGGTTGTTTTCTGCAAGTCTCACACTGAGCCAGCCTGGTACTCACTGCTTTGACAATAATAGTAAGTGATACTAAAAATATAATACCATAGTATGGATAACTAATATTTTGCTAGGCACTGAGTGTACCATGAATGGATATTTTTCCCCTAATAACAGGATCTCATGAAGCCCATGCTGGCCTCAAATTCTCTATATAGTCAAGGACCACTGAAATTCCTGGTCCCTCACTACTGCTTTCATAGCTGGATACACTCACCTCCACCCATCCCTACCCAGCATCCTTTATTGGTTTTGTTTATTTGCCTAGTTTCTATCTTTGATCCCTTGTTGCTTCACAGTGATGTGATTAGGGTTCCTAACTCCTTCCCTCAAGACCCAGCAAGAGTCTCCGCCTCCAGGCTTCTGGACATGGTCTTAATCTTTTGTCCCTCTAAGATCTCACTGCCAGCCAAGCCCCCTAGAGGTTCAGCAAGGTCCCATCACCCAGCTATCCCAGGACGGCTCTGGCTCTGCCCCCATTCTGATTTCAGCAGTCCAGGTTTTCCAGTCTTTTCAAACTCTGTAAGAAGTCATCTCCTGCCTGTCCTGGCTATATGCCATCTATTTATCTCACTGTCTTTTTTCTCTCTTTCAGATAGGATCTCTTTATGTGAACCTGGAACTCTATTGGTTAGGCTAGCCTCAAATTTGCAGCAATCCTACTGTCTCAGTCTCCTGGATAATGAGAATACATGAGTGCCTCATCAGACCTGGCGCTGCTACTCCAACTCTGTCCTAGTCTTCCTTGGACCTTTCCCTCCGAATTGGCCCCGCCCCCGCTCACCCACCTGTCTGGGTGTCCCATCTCCAGAAGCGCCCGACACTGGCGCGACAGCTGTGCAATGCTTTCCTCGTAGTTCTCCACGCCCTGCTCCAGTTGCAAGTGCTTCTTCAGCAGCTGCAGGGTGCTCTGTTCATCCTAGGAGTACATGGCGCCCGCGATAAGGCGGCAGAAGCCGGGCCTCCCCGGCTCCCGCGTCCCCGGACCCCCTCACCCCTGTTCTGGGCGCACCTTGCCCTTGTCCTCACTCATCATGAGCAGCTCCTGCTCGCCCAGCCACGCCTCCACTTCCGCCACATCAAAGTAGTACTGTTCCACCTGGAAGGCAGCGTCCAGCGTCTGCTGCCGTCGTTCTGCTGCCTCCCGTAGTCCGGTCCAAGCGCTCTGCAGCTGCTCCTGGCCCCGGCGCACCGCCTCGGCCTCCGGGCTGCGCAGCGAGGCCAGCGCGCCCGCGCGCTCCAGCACCTCCTCCAAGCGCGGCCCGTGCGCCTGGATCTCCCGCCGCAGGCCCTGTGAATGAAACATCGTGCGGAGGAGTGGCAGAGTCTCCATGACACACCGAGCCTCTCCGCGACTGGCAGGGCCGCTGTGCTAGAATGAACACCCTCAGATCCCCTGCCACTTGCCAGGTACCAATAACTGATACCCACATGCTCCAGGTGGGGAAACCGGCCCTGACAAAAGAAGTGCAGTCCCGGGGGAAACTGGAGGCTGGCTCCAAAGACTGTACTGTCAAATAGGATTTTTAAGACAGGAAGGACCCTTTGGGAGCGCTGCGATGAGACGCTGTCTTCCTGGAGTCAGTAGCTGTCAGTACCTACTTAAGTCCTGCACGTGATCAAGCTACTGAGAAGCCCAGTGTGATGGGCTAGCTTAGCCTAGCTAAGGACCTATTAGTAGTAGCTTGTGACTGGAGGAAGAGTAGTCATTTGTAGTGAGATTGAACCTGGGACCTTTGGAAGGCTGAGAAAGCACTTTACTACTGAGCCACACCCCAGCCCCACACTGGGGGATTCTAGGCAGGGGCTCTACCTCTGAGCCACACCCCAGCCCCTCACTGGGGGATTCTAGGCAGGGGCTTTACCACTGAGCCACACCCCAGCCCCACACTGGGGGATTCTAGGCAGGGGCTCTACCTCTGAGCCACACCCCAGCCCCACACTGGGGGATTCTAGGCAGGGGCTCTACCTCTGAGCCACACCCCCAGTTCTCTTTGGTTTTGATGTCAATAGGTAAACAAGCATCTGTTGGGGGCCTTTCATCACCAATTAAAGAGAAGACTGTGACCTGACAACAAAGTTAACCCTGAAACAGCAAAAAAGAAGCAGAGACTCGTGACAGACTCTAGACGCACATGGATCTACCTGATATCCAGTCTTGTCAAGGACGAGAGGCAATTCATTCTCTCACTCCCCTCTACTCATCTAGTTTTTTAAAAATAATTTATTTATTTATTTAATTTTTCTGTGTGTGGTTTTTCGAGACAGGGGTTTTTTTTGTTTTTTTTTTTTTTTTTTTTTTTTTTTTTTTTTTTGTAGCTTTGGAGCCTGTCCTGGAACTAACTCTTGTAGACCAGGCTGGCCTCGAACTCACAGGGATCTGCCTGCCTCTGCCTCCCAAGTGCTGGGATTAAGGGTGTGTGCCACCACTGCCTGGCTGATTTATTTATTTTTATTTTATGTGCATTGGTATTTTGCCTGGATGTATATCTATACAAGGGTTCTGGATGCCCTGGATTTGGAGTTACAGATAGTAGTGAGCTACCTTATGGGTTCTGGATCCTCTGGAAGAGCAGCCAGTGCTCCAAACCACTGAGACATGTGCCCAGCCCCTTTAACTAGTCATGTAACTGGCTTCTTTCCTAGCGCTCACACCCCCAAGAGTCCTACCTCACGCCCTCACCTGGCTCTGCTCACCTGGTTCTTTTTGATGTGCTGCTGGACAGCCTGTAAGCCATTGCCTCGCTCTGTCTGCATGGCCAGCGGCAGCCGCTCTTGGACCCATGCCTGGGGAGGACACAAGACGGTCGGTGAGAGAATGCACCCAAGGATCGCTGCCTCCCAACCAGCCTCAGATCCCTTTATATGCATGGGTGACCTTCCTCACCTCAGCCCCAGGGACATCAGCGTCCTGTGCGACACCCTCCATCCAGCTCTCTGCACTTGAAGCCCCCACCCTCTGGCTTTGAACTTCTTTGAGCTCCTGAGGGTCAACATCACCTCCGCCCCAAATACCCCTAGTGGCAGGGCTGAGCCCTCTACCTAAAGCAACAGACAACGGCAGCCTTGGACACCTGCTGGGCCCTGGCATCACACAGTCTGAGGGCCTGGCCAAGACCGAGTGAGGGTAAACAGATGACTGAACAGATGAATGATTGAGTGGATGAGCCTTTGGGTGAGATGAATGCAAATGAGTGGAGTCAGGGGTCAAGACCCACAAAAGAAAAGGCAACCAACTCCATGACCAGGAGTGCTGGGCACACTTGCAACCCCAACACTACGGAGGTTGAGACAGGAGGATCAAGAATTCAGTCATAGTTGGCTACACAACCGGTTCCAGAGGAGAGAAGGAGGAAGAGGAGGAGGAGGAGGAGGAGAGGAGGAAGAAGAGGAGGAGAGGAGGAAGAGGAGGAGGAGAGGGAGGGAGGGGAGGAAAGAAAAGGAAAGGAAAGAAAATTTGTTTCATGAGCAAATGAATGAGCGACTAGAGTAAATAAGTGAAGGAGCGAAGGACTGAAGAATGTATCTGACTCTCACCCTGGGTCAACCCAGGCTTCATTCACCATCTGCGCCCACAACTGTCAATCCCTGGCCTTACATCCCGCTCCAAGTCTCCGCGCACCCACGCCCCGCCTCACCAGTTCGTCGTCCAGGTCGTGCGCCACCTGATGTAGCTCCTTGGAGGCCAGCAGCAAGCGGCGGCGCTCTTGCAATGGCTCCAGCAGGCGCACCAAGCGCTCGCCCACCGCGCTCTGCCGCTCGCCCACCAGGTCCTTGCTCGCCTGTTCCAGGGGCAGCGCCGCCGTCTGCGCCTGCAGCTCGCCCACCTCACGGCACCACTCCTCCACCTGAGACTCCATGGACTGTGGGCACAGGGGCACGGTCAGCAGTCCCACCCTCCTCCCAGGCCTCTTCTGTGACAAGGCACTCACCTGGGCAGGTCATTCCACTCTCTCTCTGTTCAATGCCTCCCAGAAGAACCACCCTCCCTCTGCATGAACCTGTGTAGCTCCATACCAGCCCCTGCCTGGGCATGGTGAGTTTGAGCCCTGCCAGGTATGTTCTTCTTTGTCAATCAGATTTCAACTCAAATGTTATTTTCTCAAAGAATTCCAAAGGACCACCCCCCACACAACTAATATGGTCCATCCATTCTTGGATTTTCTTCAAAGTTGAATGGATCTCTTTTTCACTGTAGGAAACTGAGACCCAGAGAGATAATTTGACTAATAAGTCAATCTTGTCTGACATAAAACCAAACACAAAGCTACAGTGATTTGGAGACTGGGGTGTAGCTTGGTTGGGATAGTGCTTTCTTGGCGTGCAAGGACACCCTGTCTTCCATCCCCCAGTACCACAGAAGACCAAGTGTAGTGATCCAAGCCTGTAATTCTAGCACTCAGGAGATAGAGTGGAAGGATCAGAGTTCAAGGTCAGCCTGGGATATGTGAAAGCCCATCTTAAAATACACAGGAAAATTAAAATCTCTTATAGCACTTGAAATCCCCGAAGATTAATGGATTGGCATGGGCCAAGCAATGGCCTGATTTACCTGGGCCCTTTCTCTGCTCTTTAACAGCTGCAGATGGGTTTAAGACTTAAAAGGAATGAGGAAATCTGTAAATTAGGAGAAGAAAGGGGGCCCAAATGCTTTGAGAGTGTTGTGGGAGGGGCTTTCAAAAATTAAAAGCCAATAGGGTGAATAATGCTAAAGCATCTTTGCACTGACCCTGCCGTATGTCACGAGCACCCAAAGGCACACTAATGAGAAAGTAATTTCAAAGGCACTGAGCAGGGAGCCATTTTTCTCTAATTTCTGCACGTATTTGTTATGTGTGTGTGTGATGTGAAGTCATGTATGCTTGTGCCATGGCACACGTGAGGAGGTCAGGGGACAACTGGAGGGAGTTATTTCATTCCTTCTACTGTATGGTCTGGGGTGGAACTCAGATCATCAGGCTTGGTGGCAAGCGCCTTTACCCAGTGAGACGTGGCTCCTTTTTCTTAAAACTTATTTATATTTTTATATGCATGTGTATATGCCACGTGTGCAGTAACTGTGGAGGCCAGAAGAGGGCGTTGGATTCCCTAGAGCTGGAGTTACAGGTGGCTGTGAGCTGCCGGATATGGGTACTTGGGAAGCAAATCTGTATTCTCTAGAAGAGCAATATGTGATTTTCAACATTTTATTTTATTTTATGTGTAAGTGTCTCGCCTGCATGTATACCTGCGCACTACACACATGTGTGCCTGGTATCCTTATAGGCACAGAACATGGCACTGGATTCCCTGGAGCTGGAGTTGCAGACAGTATGGTGGTTTGAATGATAATTGCTCTATGGGCTAACATATCTGAATACTTGCTTTCCAATTAGTGGAACTATTTGGAAAGGATTAGGAGGTGTGGCCTTACTAGAGGAGGTGTGTCAACAGGCTTTGAGGTTTCAAAACCACTCCCGGTGAGCTCTCTCTTCACTGCTCTGGTTTATGGATCAGTTGTATGTTCTCAGCTACCATTCTAGTGCCTGCCTGCCTGCCTGCTGCTATGCCTGCCTGCCTGCTACTAAGCCTGCCTGCCACCCCATGATAGTCATGGACCCTACTGCCCTTTGGAAGGAGCCCCACATTAAATACTTTCCTTTATAAGTCGCCTTGGTTATGGTCTTATTACAGCAAATTTAAAAAAAAGTTACTAAGACAGAATGTGAGCCTCCACATGTATCCTGGGAACAGAGTCTGGGTTCTCTGCAAGTGCAGCCGAGCAGCCTCTCCAACCCCTTCTGCTTTCTCTTTTGTAGACAGACTCTCAAGTAGCCGAGGCTGGCCTCAAACTGAAACTCACTATATAGCCATCATTTCTCAAATTCTGGGGCATCACCATGACAGGTTAAAACTAGTTTCTTTAGTGCTGGAGAGATGGCTCAGTGATTAAAAACACTGACTGCCCTTTCAAGGGACCCAGGTTCAGTTCCCAGCACCCACAGAGCAGCTCATAACTGTCTGTAATTTCAGTTCCAAAGTATTCAACAAAACACCCTGGCAAAAACACCAATGCACATAAAAAATAAAGAAAGAAAAAAAACTCGCTTCTTTAAAACACTCAGAGATGCTTCCCACATCCTCCAATCTGTCCCTGCTGCCTTAGCTTTACAACAGCAGCCGCCACTGACAGACAGCTACCTTTTAAAGTCTGGGTTCCTTTTGGAGATGGTTTTTCTCTGTAGCCCTGACTGGCGGGAGGCCCCCTCCATTAGCACCCTAAGTGCTGGTGCCACAGCTGCGCACTCTGCTGTGAATGACTGGCTCCACTCATGTGTTTTCAAATTACTCCCCTGCGTCCAGAACATGAGCCTCCTGAGCACTGGGCCAGGCCAGCTTCATTGCTCTGTACAGGCATCTGGAACCGTATCTGGCACACAGTAGGTCTCTCTTGTGATGTGGGCAATGCATGAAAGAATAACATCAGCAGGAGTGGAGAGCTGGCTCAGCAGTTAAGAGCACTGGCTGCTCTTCCAGAGGACCTGGATTCAATTCCCAGGACCCACATGGTAGCTCGCAACCATCTGTAATCCCAGGTCACAGGGATTTGATATCTTCTTCCAGCCTCCTCAGGTATAATGCAAGGGTGTGACAATGCACACATTCATATAAAATTTTAAAATAAAAAAATTCTAAAAACAAATACTATCAGCAAGGAAAAAACTGTCCCAAATAGAAATGAGCAACAGATGAAAATGGGCAGCAGACAGAATAAACAAAAAGATGCCCTGTCCCACTGATGGTCGGGGAAATGTAAATTAATACATGACTTCCTTTTCTAGCCATCCCATTAGCAAAGTTGTGAAAACTGAATGCTACATTGAGTTGGCAAAGATGCAGGAATGAGCACACTCAGCCACCAACAGGCCTGTTGTAAATGGGTAGATCCTTTTATAAGCAAATTTGGCAGCTTCTACCCAAAGCAAATGGTGCACAGTCTGACCCTGGGCTTCCACTGTCTGTACCAGGAACAGATCTCCAGAAATATTGGCACTCAGAGAAGTTTGCTCATGGCTTTCGTCATAGCAGGGTTTACAATGAGAGAAAATTGGAAACAATCTCACAGTCCATTAAGAATGAAATGGTGGAAATGAGGTGGTTTCGCACACCCTGAATCCCAGCACTCAAGAGCAGAGGCAGGCGGATCTCCGAGTTCGAGGTCAACCTTGTCCAGGACAACCAGGGCTACACAGGGAAATCCTGTCTTGAAAGAGAGAGAAAGAGAGAGAGAGAGAAGAGATGGGAGGCAGGAGAGATGGCTCAGTGGTTAAGAGCACTGGCTGTTCTTCCCAAGGACCCAAGTTCAATTTCCAGCACCCACATGGCAGCTCACAACTGTCTCTAAATCCAGTTCCAGGGAGTCCAACACCCTTACACAGACACAGGTGTAGGCAAACACCAATACAAATACATAAATCATTAAAAAGGAAAAAAGAATGAAATGGTGGAGCCTGGAGAGACGGCTCTGTGGTTACGTGACTTTCCAAAGGACCTGAGTTTGGTTCCCAGCTCCCATAATGGGCAGCTCACAACCACCTGAAACTCCAGCCCTAAGGGGATCTGATGTCTCTGGCCTCCATGGGCACCAGCACTCATGTGCATACCCATCACCATCATTCGAAAAAATAATAAATGTTTCTCTTTTTAAAAAGAGTTTTTAGGGGCTGGAGAGATGGCTCAGCGGTTAAGAGCATTGCCTGCTCTTCCAAAGGTCCTGAGTTCAATTCCCAGCAACCACATGATGCCCTCTTCTGGACTGCAGGCACACATGTAGACAGAATATTGTATACATAATAAATAAATAAATATTAAAAAAAAGAAAAAAAAGAATTTTCAGCCAGGCAGTGGTGGCACACACCTTTAATCCCAGCACTTGGGAGGCAGAGGCAGGCACATCTCTGTGAGTTCAAGGCCAGCCTGGTCTACAGAACAAGTTCCAGGACAGCCAGAGCTGTTACACAGAGAAACTCTGTCTCGAAAAGAAAGGAAGGAAGGAAGGAAGGAAGGAAGAAAGAAAAAAAGAAAGAAGTTTCATTCCTTAATTGGTAGCCCTGTGGAAATAGCTCAAATGACTCAGTGGAAAAAATGCTTGTCACAAAAATGGACCTGACTTTGGCACAAAAACGGACCTGACTTTTGAACCCCCAGAGCCCATGTAGACTTGAGCACAGTAGAGCATATCTGTAATCTCAGCACTCCTAAGGAGAGCTAGGGAGGTGGAGGTTGGAGGATCTTGATGGACCAGTGAGCCTGATATACACAGCAGTAAAGACCAGGGATCTATTTGAAACAAGGCAGAAGGTGAGACCAACACTTGCAGGGGTCTGTCCTTTGATCACTACATGTGTGAAGTGGCATGCATACACCTGAACATCCACACAGGAACATACACAGGAACACACACACACAGATAAAAAGAATGAAACGGTGGACAAAGTAAGGTGACACACAGCTATCCAGCCTTGAGGAGGTGGAGGCAGGGGGATCAGGAGTTCATTCTCATCTATACAGCAAGTTCGAGGTCACCCTTGGCTACTGAGACTCAGTCTGAAAACTAAGAATAACACAAGACCGAAAGGGTTAAAGAACTCTGGAGGGGGGTGGACTAATAGCCAGGAGTGGCCGAGCCGAGGGAAAGCGATCGAGAGCCTCCATGTGACATGCATTTGTAGTGAATCGCACATGGATAAAAATCCCTGGAGTCAACAAGAAATTGACACCAGATGTCACCTCCTGCGGGATGAGAACTCACAGAGTGGAGGACAGGGCTGGAGGAAATTTTCACATAGGATTTTTTCATATGGTTTTTGATGTCTGAACCATG